CAGGAATGCAGTACGAGGACACAGGGCTGGGATGTGGGACTAGAATCCAGGACTAGGATAAAGGCTGGGATGAAGGGTAGGGATGCAGGACCAGGACACAAGGTCGGGATGCAGGACCAGGAAGAAGGGCTGGGATGCAGGACCAGGATGCAGGAGCAGGATACAAGGTTGGGATGCAGGACCAGGATGCAGGACCAGGATGCAGGGCCAGGATGCAGGGTTGGGGTGCAGAGAGCCTGGGGGGGCCGCGCGGAGGCTCGGCAGTGCCCCTGCCAGAGCAGCGGGCGCTCCTGGGGCCAGCCCAGCTCAGCGGCAGCTTGGCAGGAGCGAGGGGAGCGGAGCAGGGCTGGCTGGGACCGCCTGGAAGCGCGCCCCGGCGGCAGGGAAACCCAGCCTCCCCTCCCTCCTCTCTTCTCCGCAGGCCACGCCAAACTCCGCAGAGAGCCAGCAAACTGCGGTGTGGGCACGACGGAGCCATGAATTTTCATTAAAAGGAGGGGGGGGGGAAGCATTTCCAGTATTTCCCTGTGTGTCTTTGGCCTGGCGCAGCCCTTCTGCTCACTGCTCTGTTTATACATGATAGACAACTAATTAACATCCAAGCCTCTTGAAAGGTCTTTTCAGAGGTAATGTACTGACAGAGGATGTCAGTAAGGAGCAGTGATTTGTCTAAGCAGTGATCACATTGTTTCAGACTGAATGAGGTGAATATTAAACTGCTTTAAATGCACTCTTCATAAAGCACTAATTACATACTCCCGGGGGAGTACGGGCAAGGAATACTAAACAGCAGAAAAGTCAACAGAGTTCTTTTTATAGTATGTTGCTGGGTTCTGTGTTTTTCTGTCTTTCTTTCTCTTGTGCACTCTCTCTCGCACTCTCTCTCTCTCTCTCTCTTTTACAGTAAAATCACAGCACGCTGAAGAATACACATTTATAGCACAATGGTTCACATCTAATTATATGGCAATCATTAGTTTTAACCTGGGTGTATTATATTTTCTTTGATATATTGTGCCCCCCGGCATCTCTTTGCATAGAATACTTCCAATGGCATTTTCTTCCCTGCCTTCAAAAAAACGTGCTTTTTTCCATCGTTAGCATTTGCTTTTTTTTTTTTTCCCTTCATTCCCTAAACAAAAATCTTAAATTGGCAGGAATAAAAGGGGCAAGGAGGGGAGGAGGAGAAATCCGTTTAATCAAAATAAGAATCTGTTCCCTCCCTCCTGGAACGGTGCACTTTATTATTACCTAGGTAACTCCACTGGGTTTTTGAAGAGAAAAGGAAACGCAGAATGGGCCATTAATGAATTCCTGCCGATCCTGCCCAACTCCCGGCCTGGTTTGTCCTGACTTCCCGACGGGGGGGGAGGGAACAACCGTACTCCGTGCATTACGGATTTCTTCCCGGCGCTGCCTTCCGGCGCGAGGTGCAAACTTCCTCCGAAAGAAAGGCAGAGTCACGCAGCCCTTAGATTTTTTTATTTTTTTCCCTCCCTTTTAAAAGAACATGAAAGAATCTGATAATTACTTCTATCTACCACCCAACTGTACTAATTACCAACCTATTTCTTCACAGTATGACAGACACAGGCTCTCCAAAACACATAGAGATAAATTAGCACTAATTGGTTTTCCTCTGGCTGTTTGAATTAGTATTTAAAGCTCCAATTACAAAGCAGAATAATTACTATTAATGTCCTGTCGCAGTACAAAAGGCAGATATCTCGCGAACAAGTCCAGGTGTATTATTACACTGATTACAGAATATTTAACCTGGCTCGTTAAGACAAAGACGCCGGGATCCATTAAAAAAAAAAAAAAACAAGAAAAAGGGGGGGAAAAACCCCCAGACAGCTGCAGGTCGCTGCCGGGAAGGGCAGGGGGGTCTCGGCAGCCTGGGACCGAGCCGGAGAAGGAGCGAGCGAGGAAGAGCCGAAAGGGAAGGGAGGGAGAGAGCGGGAGCAGGGGGAAAAAATGCAAAAGGAGCAGTTCTGCTGGAAAACAGAAGAGCGTTTTGGGTGGGGGGAGAAGAAGGGGAGCTGCAGCCCGGCTGCGGACATCTCCCCGCACTCCCTCCCCGCTGGCCGCGTCCCCGG